TTCTGGTCTTTAATATTTGTGCTCTTGTACAAAATAACATCATGATTGCAAGTTCCATAATTTCGGGCATGGAGTCTTCCATTGACGATCTACCATACCATCTGCGTTTATTGGTATAAGAGAGAAGTCAGAGAACAATTTTTTTTTTTTTTTGTATTTGGTTAATGTGCACATCCTGTTATCGTGGTAATTTGTGCTGAACACTGCCTTCTTTCACCTCTTAAGGGTATACTTTGCACATAGTTCATTGAGATACATGTTCAGTTTTGTACAAATGAACATGGCTGTTTGCTGATGCTGATCACACGTTATTTGGCTCTGTTCCAGCTTAGTGAAGAGCTTCAGAAGGTGGATGGGAAATTAAAAACTACTGAGGCTAATCTGGAAAGCAAGGTACCAAGCATAATTATTATTAGTCCTAATGAAACTTTATCTTCAGAACTTTAAGCATAGAGGATGGCTTATGGATGCTATAATGAAGTGTCAACTTAATATTGCAGAATCTTGAAATAAAAAAGATAAATGAAGAGAAGAAAGCAGCTCTTGCTGCACAATTTGCTGCAGAAGCCACACTTAGACGCGTACATGCTGCTCAAAAGGATGATGACATGCCACCAATAGAGGCCATTATTGCTCCGCTAGAGGCGGAGCTAAAGCTGTCAAAACAGGAGGTACATCTTGTCCATGTTTTCTTCATTTAGTGCTGCATCAACCCATTATTAATTTTCCTACTCGAAAGTCAATTTGTTAAGGTGATTTGCATGAATGCTGCGTATCTCATCTTTGGCCGTTTCCTTATTTGGATGTAAAACCAGTTCTTGTGGAGTTGGAGAAAAGTTCTGATTCACTGGTCTATTTCTTTTCTAGATTGCGAAATTGCAGGATGACAACAGGGCATTGGATCGTCTTACAAAATCCAAGGAAGCTGCATTATTGGAGGCAGAGAAAACTGTTCAGATGGCTATGGCAAAAGCATCCATGGTTGATGATTTGCAGAACAAGAACCAGGAGTTGATGAAGCAGATTGAAATATGTCAGGTATACTGATTTGCTGTTTCTAATTTTTTTTAGTCAAAGTACACAAACATGGTCACTTTTCAGCTGCTTATTAAATTATATGGATTCTATCAGGAGGAGAACAAAATTTTGGACAAAATGCATCGTCAAAAGGTAGCAGAAGTTGAAAAGTTAACACAAACAGTTCGGGAGCTTGAGGAAGCAGTGTTGGCTGGTGGAGCAGCTGCCAATGCTGTGCGTGATTACCAACGTAAAGTGCAGGAGATGAATGTAATTCTATGTTCTTATAGCGGATGTTTCAAGAAAAAGACAGCTTGATCGGTATGACTTGTGCTTTATGCTGATACTGAACTCTTTTTTTTTTTCTTTACAGGAGGAGAAGAAAACCCTAGACAGGGAGCTTGCTCGTGCAAAAGTAAACGCTAATAGAGTTGCTACTGTTGTGGCAAATGAGTGGAAAGATGGCAATGACAAAGTAATGCCTGTAAAGCAATGGCTTGAAGAGAGAAAATATTATCAGGCATGTAATCTAGTTATTTGGTTTTCAGTTGACTGTCTTGATGACCTTAATAAAGATAAGGATGACAATGGCCTAAACTATGTATCAAGCTTTCACCTTAATCACTTTCTGTTTGCTTCTCTTAGACTTTGACTTATAAGGATGACCTCAAGTGGGTGAAACTGTGAAAGCCATCTAAGAAACAGCAACCTACAATAATGCCTGTAGTAGATGACATGAATCTCGGGTTCTCAAATTTTTTATTTAGTGGGTCTTGATTACTCTTCTTTAATAGGTCTCTGTTTTTCTTTCTAATGAATGTTAATGTTGAAAACATTTATATTGTTTAAATAATATCTTTGCTATTTCTGCATCATTGCAGGGAGAAATGCAACAACTTAAGGAAAAGCTTGCTGTTGCCGAGCGTACAGCTAAAGCAGAAGCACAGTTAAAAGTGAGGCACCTTTATTTTCTTCATTTTGATGTAGTACATCATTCTCTATGGTTGTCTAATACTTGCATTACTTTCCATTAGGAGAAATACCAATTAAGGTTTAAGGTTTTAGAAGAAAGACTGAGAGGATCTCCAAGTGTCAACTCTTCCCGTGTCACCCCGGAAAGAAGAAGCATAAGCAGTGGTCGAACACGACGCCAATCTCTTGGAGGAGTAGAGAATTTCTCAAGGGTGGCTTCTAATGGATATTTGTCAAAAAGAACAACAAATTCACCATCCGGGACTCTACGATCTAATAGTGTAGTTGCATTGCTAACGAATGCCAAGAATCCATCACAGTCATTTGATGGCAGTGATAAATCTCAAGAAGGAGGTAAGCCATGTCCAATGATGCCAAGCATAACTTCTAATGGTGTTGACAAGACTCACAATGGCTCCCAAAAAGAGGATGATCACAATAATCTAGTTGGAAAGACAAAAACAGATTGTGATGACTATGTATCTGGGGCATTGTATGATATGTTACAAAAGGAAGTTGTTACTCTCAGGAAATCTTGTAATGAGAAAGCTCAGAGCCTCAAGGACAAGGATGACGCTATTGAGGTTAGAAATTGCTGCAACTTCCAAACTCGCGATCTTTGTTTTATTCCAATGATGGTTACATCTTACCTTAATGTATGAATTTCTCAGATGTTATCAAAGAAGGTTGAGACCTTGAACAAGGCGATGGAAGTTGAAGCGAAGAAAATGAGGAGAGAAGTAGCAGCGATGGAAAAGGAAGTTGCTTCCATGCGTACTAACAAGGAAAATGATCAAAGGAACCGGAGAATGAGTATGGCTAGAGGGGTTGTCAATGGTTCTCAGCCACATTCTGCAAGGTAAAGTATTGGGACATATTGAAGGTTATTTATTTAATTTGATTCTTTTCTTTATATGGGATGTATTGTTTTTTAACCAGGTTATCTTTTATATCATTCAGGAACATTCGGAATATGTAGGGAATGATCCTTGGAAGGTAAAATTACACTCGTAAGGATTCAGTCCTTGAACTCTAGGATGATAGGGCTTTATTTTACAGATTTCTCCCTCCACAACTCGCTTTCTTCTGACATTCCCGCTTCCTATTCAAGAGGCTTCCCCAGTCTGCTATTCATTTGTAAAGAGCTGACTTCTAAATTGGTCCACGGAGAATTACATCAATCGTGTATATTTTTGTATTAACATGAGTGTGAATCTATGTGAAAGTAGTGGTGTGTATTAGGTTTTTGTGGTCATCTTTCAATTATATTTGATTTTGAAGGATTGCTGATATTCTGTAAAGGGCATGGTTGCATGCCCCAGTTGCTACTCTTGAACTTGAAGTACGGGTGAAAGCTACTTTGACTTCATAACTAGTTATGGATTATAGATCTTTTCTGAAATACCTCCAATTTCCATGTTTGTCATAATTGATTGTATTAGGAAATGAAACTATCTTCAGTTCCATTAAAGAGTTAAACAAGACTAACCAGAAACTTGAGTTGCAATGCAAGAAGAATTTGCATACCGGGCGAAAACCCTGACTAGTGCTAAAGTTTTTGAGCTGCACCCTTGGGGGCTGGGGGAGTGCAGGGTTAGTTACCGTTATCCATCTTTGCCCCACTAACATTCTTAATATTGATAGACAATTGGTAATCAAATAACATATTTTTAGACTCAAACTCTCGTTGCCTATTATTTTTATTATTATTTTTGAAAGGACTCTCATTACCTATTAAACTAGTTTGTAATTTCAATTACAATTTACATATGGTATCTATAAGGAATTTTTCTTGCACATTCTCCATAAATTTTTGCAAGTAGCTTACCATGACTATTGGAGTGGGGATTTTACTTGTAGTAGAATAAGCAACCTGCTCAAACAAGCTACATACACTGGTAGTAGATTTTTTTTTTTTTTTTGAACGGACTGCTAGCAGAATTTGATTATATTATACTTGTATAAAATAAGAAAAACATTGGTATCAATTACTTCGTAATAAACTTCGTGGTAATGATACAATGTGTTGTATCCAATCATTATAGACTTTATTATGGCTTCAAAACATATTACCTTGAAAATCATACTCCCTCCATCTTATGTTATAGAGCTCATTTTTTTATTATTATTTTTTTTTAGGATAGTAGAGATAGTGGGTAATATTCTTAAAAGTAAAAGTATTTTTGATATGAGAAAGTTAAAAAAAAAAGTAATTAGTAACATCTAATGGAACTTTAGAAATACAAGAATTTTATAAGGAAAACCTAAAAAAGTAAATAATGAATGAAATTTGGGGAAATGTAGGAGTATTTATATGAGAAAAGTTAAAAAAAATTACATGGATCATGATAGAAATATGTTATTAAAAAATAAAATATTAAAACAAACACAACATTTTTGGGACTTTTAAAAAAAAAAACATTTGCACTATATTAGGGAACGAAATGGATACCAACTAGGCTAATTGGTTAAAATCTTGGGAGGTGGTATTCAAGACATTAGATCAAATCTCGTCTACATCACTGTTCTTTGCAGATCTCTTTACACAAAAATACTTAATCGTGTGACCTTATTGGTTTATGACGTTGGTTGGGACACCGGTCGGCCGTTACCCTTCTCGCGTCCCTAATCAATCCGTTGATGAGAAGGAGATGGAGGGTTGTCGATGCCGCCGCTAGTAAAGGACACCTCTTTCTCCATGCTGCTGCTAGGTGGGAAGTGGGAAAAGAAGTGGTACAAGTTGTGGCGGTGGCAAGTTCTTAGGGGAATGGTGGTAAGAGGGAGAGGTGAAGTTACTAAGGGCATTATGGTCACTTTTTCACGAAATGCAGGTAATTTTCAGTATTTTGCTTACAATGTTTAATAATTTTTATTTTTTATTTTTATAACGCGTTATTACATGTCGCATTATAAACTTTATTAATAATAGATTTGAAAATGATTAAATTTTACTTAATTACCCCTGACAGAATGTACAACCGGTCATATGGTGAAGATCAACTCGATCAACTCTTGCCTAGCCGTCCCAGTGCCCCAACCATTTCACCTTCACCTTCACCTTCTCCCGTACTCTATTATCCTTCTTTTACGCCGCAGAAAACACCAGTGAGTGTAATAGGCAACCCCCCCAAACAACAGAGGTTCTGAATGAATTTGAACTGAATGGCGCTTCTTGTCTTCAGACCTCGCCATTTCTCTCTTCGCCTTCTCATGGCTACTGCTTCTTCTTCTTCTTCTTCACGTTTCCTTTCTTCTTCCTCTTATCTTCACTCATGTCCTCCTCCTTCTCTCACCTCCTCTTTTCCTCACTCTCTCAGGTCTCTTTCTCCCTCATTTTCTTCTTCTTACTTGCATTTTTTTATCTGGGTATAGTATAATTGGTGTTTTTTTTATCGACCCTTTTTGAAAATTTCATCTTTACTACAAAAATTTTTTGGGCATTTTGTTGGGGTTTTGGTGTTGTTTAGAATTAGTCTTTTCTGGGTTTATGCTTGTAGCTGGGAATTATAAACTGTGCTGTATTTTGCTTGTTTTGTTGATTATTACCATATATATTTTGAGGGTTTATGCTTTGTTTAATTGATTTGATGATTTTTGGTGTTGTTAATTTTGTTGGGAAATTGTGGGTACAGGGTTAATTTCAGATTGAAGAGGGTTTCTAATGGTGCAGTGGTTAGAAATGTGGCATTTCCCAGAGCATATATATCTTCTAGTACTGCCACCGAGTCTTCTCAGGAAAATATGGCTTCTAAATCTTATGGGTCTGACCAAATTCAGGTATACTACTAGCTTCATCGTGTTCGCGGCCAGTATTATTAATCTTAGCTTCATCATGATATTGTATGCCAATGAGTTTTTGCTTCTCCATTGGTGTTGTTCTGTGTTGTGCTATCCATCTACTTGATGTTGATAATGAAGGAGTTAATATGGTATTGATTGTGATATGTGCTAATTGCATATATTTTTTTACCTGTAATTGGACTTTACAATCGGAGTAAATTATGAGGTAATGAGGTGTTTATCATCATGTGGTAGCGTTTGAGGTATTGTAGAGTGCCTTTTTTCTACTTAAAATCATTATTAAGGGTGTTTTATATGATGCATTGACAATTTACCCTTGGTTTAGGGGCCAACTTAGCCAAACACGCCAAGAAAGGAGGATAATTTTATTGTATATGTTCACCATGTGGAATATCTCTGTGTTTCCCTGACCTTTTTTAAGCAACCTTATGAGTGCCGGGTGTTAATATGCAATGTGTGGGCAGCTTTAGTATCTTTCTAATCATTGACTGAAGAGAGGACTAGAGTAGATCCTTGGTGAAGATGTTGTTCTTTGATCTGGTCTTGTTTTTTCTTAAAGATTGATGTGACTACATTATAGATTAGATGAATATGTGGCATCTTTCTCTGATTTACTGCACAAATTTGTTCTCCACTTGAGGTTTAGTTTATATAGTATGATATATGTATGTCTTATATGTTTGTGATATTTGCTTGGCACAGGTCTTACAGGGCTTGGATCCTGTTAGAAAAAGACCAGGGATGTATATTGGAAGTACAGGTTCTCGGGGTTTGCATCACTTGGTACCTACCTTTCTGAATTTTTTTTTTTAGCTATTTGAGGTCCAAATGCTGTCTTATTATAATATTATGGTTAGAAATTAGAGGTTAGAACTTGTGAATTTAAATTGACTCTGATGTGGGATCTTTCAGGTTTATGAAATCCTCGATAATGCTGTTGATGAGGCTCAAGCAGGATATGCCTCAAAGATTGATGTTATCTTGTATGCTGACAACTCTGTTAGCATTACTGACAATGGGCGTGGGGTATGGAACATCAAATTCCAATATTTGCACTTCTTTGATTATGTTTGAGGGTAACTTAGTGCTATAATTCACACAAAGTTTTCTGTTAATTGTGGTAGACCATCCCAACCCCTTTACCCAAAGGCATTGCTGAATAAACATCAAACAGTGCCTATAGACAGCAGTTGACTGCTTTGGCTTCCCCTGGTTTTTCATTATCATCCATTGGTGATAAGTTTGGTTTCTGCCCACTTTCCATTTGCCTTAGACGCCGAACTTCGTTCATATAATCCTCCTTTTCTTTCCCCCCCCCCCCCTCTTTGGTGGATAAAATCTCCTGTGAAAACAGTGAATAAATTAAATACACCGAAATAATTCTATTCTTTCCAGTCCCTATTTAAGTTAATATCTTTTATTTTCGCAGGGAGACTAAGGATAATGAAAAGATTGAGAGAAAAAAATGAGTGTGGGCCCCAACGTAGAAAATGCTGACTTATATATGAGGTGGACATACAAAAAAATTTGAAGAAAATATAACAATATACATAGATAAGTTTGAACCAAACAATAGTAATAGGATATTAGGATAAGTATTCCATTCCAACCTAAGACATGTTTGCAATCCATACTCTCTTATGAGGTGTATTGGTGCTTACATTTACGTTTACATTTCCAACAATGATTTTTATATATTTTGTGTGCTTGAGAAGATGAGTATGTGGCTAAGCAAAAATGACTGCAGATACATGTACAATTATAATTCCTATGACACATACAAAAAAAGGTAGTTGGAGAAACTTTGGGGCTATATTTTATCCGCAAGCATCATGACCAAATAATTACGAAATACTTCCTCCGTTTTTATTTACTTGACTAACATTCCTAAAATGGAAATGCCATATTACATGACCCATTCTATATTAGGTATGATTTTGGTTGTCAGATTCACAAAACTGCCCTTATAAAGTGCATGTGGGGACAACATTTCATGTTCTTTCAAAGGATAATAAAGTAGACCATGTGCACCAATTACACTCCCCCCCCCCCCCCTTCTCAAATATTGTGCCAAAGGCTATGGTTCAAGTAAAGTAAAACAGAGGAAGTATTACTTTAGACGATTATTAGCGTTTTTGCCTATGATGGTGTTTTTCTTGAATCCTGCTTCTACCTTTAGCTGTTTCATGGTGGAATTGCTCTGACTTTTATCATGACCTATAATTTCGTCATATCTTTTTGTAGATAATGCATATCTTAAAGGTGGCCTGAGTACTTCAGTCCCTTCATACCTTTTTACCTCCCACTCTGCGTTTTTCTGTGTGAATGTATTGCATGTTATCACTAACTACTTATCTAGGTTCTGCGTCAGCATTATAGTACAATCATTAATATTTATTACTGGCTAAATCATGAAGCTTGCTGGTGATTGATTAATATATTTTAAGTGTTGTGATATTTATAATTATTTACCTAGAGGCATCAAGCTAGTGTCCACGATAATTCATGTGTAAACTGCATATTGTAGACATCTTCCTTAATATATTTAGTCATATAAGGAGTGACATATCACTTTATTGCAGATTTTGACTTTTTTCTTTTCTTTTCATATTGTTGTTTTTATCCTAATTATTTTTCTCATCTGTATGTTGCAGATCCCAACTGATGTTCATCCAGTAACGAAGAAATCTTCTTTGGAAACTGTCTTAACGGTAAAACCTTAGAAGAAAATCAGGATAGAAGTTGCAATGGGATTAAATTTCTTTCATTCCAATTTTTACGTTACAATTGCAATATATCACCCCCCCCTCTCCTCCCTACCCTGTTGGTCTGCTTTTGGAAATCCCTAATTAGGTTCTGAAAAATTGACTGATGGTATCAGAACTTGTGAGTTTGTGTTATTACATACACGTTCTGAAAAATTGACAGCCACTTTGTAGCATTGTTCAGCTTTGTGTATTAGGTTTTTTGCCGTAGGAACTTCAATAAATAAGATGTCTTTAACCCTCCATAGGAGGAGAATTATTTTGGCTTGTTATGTCTGCATTGCATATTCCCCCATTTATTTTTCTTTAGCTGTGTTTAATAGCTTTCACAACTTTTGTGGTACTGAAAGGTGACTAGGAAGCTTAATGATCAATTTGGCATTCCTGATTAAGAAACACTGAAGCTTGCCTAGTTCATGCAGAAGTATCACATCTTGAGTCTACTAAGGCCACTTCTGCTAGGATATATTATATTGGGTGCAACGCTGGATATACCAGCTAAAATGAAGCTTGGTTTAATCTATCGTCTTTGTGCTCCTCTGTTTTTTGCACTCGTGATTGCTTTGTGAATGGTTGGTTTATGTGCAAAGTTACAGTGGTATTCCGCCCCTTGTTGATTTAGTGTGATTGGGCGAACCGGTGAGTAGGTGATGGGTTTAAGAACATATGGCTGTCAAAAATTTAGGATGAGTGTTGCAAATGGGATTTGTAATTGAGTAGCAAGAGTAGTAATCTATACCCTCTATGATACAGTTATTATGCTTTGCTTTAACAGATAGTAATTGCAGAAAGTGGGCTGCTGCGTTTAATTGAAAAGAAGATATGGTTTTAAAGAATTTATCTGGTTGGCAGTGGTGGCCATATGAGTATAGAACATGGGAAGCTGTGATTGTCTGTTAGAATTCATTGCTCATGCTGTAAATATACTCTGTTTATTGAACTATTTTGCTGCATAACATGCGCTTCCTTAGTAAATTCTAACAGTATTGAATGATGGCTGCTAATTTATGCAGGTCTTACACGCTGGTGGGAAATTTGGTGGTTCGAGTAGTGGGTACAGTGTATCAGGAGGATTGCATGGTGTAGGTCTATCAGTTGTCAATGCATTATCAGCGGTAGGTACTTCATCTATGATTCAGAAGTATTTACTTTTTTTTTTTTTTTTTTTTTTTTTTTTTGTGTGTGATTCTCATGTTTTGTCTTAATGTGTAGTCTGTTGCAAGATTGAGAAAAAATTTCGAAGTGATTACAATTATGCTAGTTGCAATATTGCTCCCCCTTGGAGAAGACTTTAATGGTTGACCTTTGACACATAAAAAATTCTACTTTCAAACACACAACAGACATTTTCTGGGTACACAAATACATTGGGTAATTCAGCCTTAGGCATCCCATGATTTAGGAGCAATAAAATTGCTCTAGGCCTATAGCCTTTTTTGCGCTCTGTCATCTGATATTGCAGTATGCTTATTGACATTGGCTTAAGACCCTGGGTTTTCATTCAGTTGCCACTGCATATGCTTTTGCATCGCATTTATATTCATATTCTTGTCTTATGTTTCTTCTGGATGGAGGCCAAAAAAAAGAAAAGAATCTCTCTTAATACTATCAAATTGAAAGATGCAACTACCATGCAAAGGTGTTTCGGCCTCTGATGCTCTAGTATTATGTAGGCTCTAGAAATCACAGTTTGGCGAGATGGAATGGAGTACAAGCAGAAATATGCCCGTGGAAAGCCTGTGACAAATCTGTCATGTCATGTGCTTCCACCAGATTCTGAGGATCGCAATGGAACATCTGTCAGATTTTGGCCTGATAAAGAAGGTAACTGAGGAGCAGTGTATCTTTGCTATGTTTTCTCTGTATTGGCTTTGTTACTTGGCAAATGCTGTTTCTTTGTATTACAATTTTCCTTTTGGAATTGGCTGCTAATTCTACTTTTATAATGACAATTTCATTGCAGTATTTACCACTGAAATTGAGTTCGACTATGACACAATAGCTGGGCGTATTAGGGAGCTTGCATTTTTAAATCCCAAGGTAAAGTATTGGCGATGTATCTGGATACTCTAAATTTTGAGTAAGATGTTTTTATATGCGGTGGTGGCTTGGTGTTGATAGAATATGAGGCTAATTCTTTTGCTAATTGGTTGTATGAATTATATTGGTAATTGATCATTGTGCCTTTGTTTTTCTTCTTTTGCTTTTTAATTTATTGGAATTGCAGGGGAGGATATGTATAACTTCTATTCTCTAGTTGGGGCTATTGACTGAAAGCATCTCCTTTCTGCTTTTACTTCCTGTTTGCAGCTTACCATTGCTTTTAGCAAGGAGAGTGAAGATCCGGAGAAGAGTCGGTATAATGAATATTACTATGCTGGTGGGTTGGTTGAATATGTGAAATGGCTAAACGTTGATAAGGTATGTTTTCTACGATGACATTCCATTTCTGAATATTGCTCCACATTTTTACATTATTTTGCTTGCTAATGCTGGAATGTGCATCCAGAGACCAATTCATGATGTCGTTGGGTTTCACAGAGAAATAGATGGTGTAACTATTGATGCAGCTTTACAGTGGTAGGCTTTTATATCTGGACTTTTCATCGCTTCTTATTGTTAGGCATTGCATTTATTTTTTTGTTCTGTTTATTGCATTGCCTCTGTCTATTCTTTTACATTTGTTTGTGTTGGTTTTGATATAATGTATAGGTTTTGCTTTATATTTGTATCCTTTGGCTGTTATCTGATTTTGAGAGTAGGCATTAGATATGACAACCCCACAAAATCCCTGAGAAAATACTGTAGGAATTTTGATATGCTCAGTTGCGTTTTAATCTTCTCAATAGCTATAGATTTCGGCATTTTTTCTGTAATTATTTAATATTGGTTATTTAGATGTTGATTTCTCTGAGTTTACTTGCTAAGCTTAATGTGATGTTAGTCCATGTCTAGTTCACCTTATTTTTGCTTATCTAATTTGAACTTATTTTTTCTAATCTAATCTAATCTGAACTTTTTTTTTTTCTCTTTTTATATGATCTGATTGCTTGATTTGAGCTAAACTTAGTCTTGAAATCATTTGACTAAACTTTGACCTTATATGTACGATTGTACGCTAATCCTTGGAAAGATTATGTCAAATGAGGTTATATTAGATTTTTATTAATGTATATATTCCAAATTTGTACTTTTTTTTTTTTTTTTTTTTTTCATTATGAAATTAAAGATATTTAGCGATAAAAAACCGCAAATAAATTGATAAGGTCTGTTATGAACTTATTTTTTCTAATCTGATATGTTGGAACTTATTTTCTAATCTGATCTGAAATAATTATGAAGTACTTGAATAAGGTGAACTAAACATTACGTTAGTTTTGTTTGTTAAGATTTTGCAACTACGTTTGCCCTTGTATTAGCTGTATATGAGACGAATTCTTTCTACCCGGTTGGATTAAACTGCTAAATTTTTGTAGGTGTTCGGATGCATATTCAGATACAATCTTGGGATATGCCAATAGCATACGCACTGTTGATGGCGGTACTCACATTGATGGCTTCAAGACTTCATTGACAAGAACTCTGAACAGTTTGGCAAAGAAATCAAAAGCTAACAAGGTGCATTGATTTTCTTCACTTTTGATCTTTCCTTGGATCCAATGTACTAGTATTCTATGATAATTGTTTTACGAAACAGGATGCACTTTCAAACTATGATGAATTCCTGTAACATCTCTTCTTGTAACGTGTTTAAATTTGTATTGATTTTGTTTGTATAATATAAGAGCTTAATTTTACTTTCAGGACAAAGATCTTACTTTAAGTGGCGAACATGTAAGGGAAGGATTAACTTGTGTAATTTCTGTCAAAGTGCCAAATCCAGAGTTTGAAGGACAGACAAAGGTTTTTTTATTACTCCTTTTCTCCTCTTTGGTGGCTCAATAAACTAAAGATGTTTGCAATTACATTCTTGAAAGTTGAAGACTGATGCTATGATGTCCATGGTTGATAGACAAGGTTAGGAAATCCAGAAGTTCGGAAGGTGGTGGATCAATGTGTGCAAGATTATCTCGTGGAATATTTAGAGTTGCATCCTGATGTTTTAGATTCGATCGTTTCAAAGGCTTTGAATGCTCTCAAGGTAAGTTTGTGATAAATCTTGATTTTATAAATTTATGTTCAGTAGACATTGTGTAGCTGACCTTATTACTGAACTGCAAGGCTCTCCTACTAATTTTTGTTTCAGGCTGCTCTGGCTGCCAAAAGGGCAAGGGAGCTAGTGAGGCAAAAGAGTGTCCTGAAGTCATCTTCGCTTCCTGGAAAACTTGCTGATTGCTCTGCCACAAACCCTGAGGAAGCAGGTAATTATAGTGACTTTTCTCATTTAATTATTGTCGTCTGATCTTTAAAATGCGTTCTTTGCTGCAAGTAATTATCCACTACATTTCCAATTTGTCAATATATATATTTTTTCTGAACCTTATTCTTCTATTTTGCAATAAGAAACTAGATCAGGCCTTTTGAGTTCAGACTGACCTGCATTGAAATTTGAACCTAAAGGGTTGAAATTGGGCATCAAAATCAGATACAAGCTCTCCAAACCTATTACTAGTTGTTATTTACTGTTTAACTCAAAAAACTAGATGAGACTAGTCAAATTACATCATGTTTTATGGGGCTAGCACCAATTCATCAGTGGTTTCCGCATTTCCACTATCTATTGCATATGCACATGCATATTGCAATGAACATTCTATGTGGCGGTTTCATCAAAGAGATTAACTATATATGCTAAATTGGCTAAATGTAAAACTCAAGTGCTCAACTTTAAGCCTGATTAGTGGGTCCTTTCCATCTTATCTCTTTGATCTATTAAATATTTATCTTTTTACAATCACCACCTGGGCGTTCTTTTTTGGTGAATGTTGATTTGTCCTAGGGTCAGTATCCATCTTTAGTGGGAAATTTTATGCTATTTTTAATTTGGCTTTTGTGTGCCAATAATTATCCTCTTTCCTGTTGATTAATATTTAACAAGTATATCTTCGTTGCTTTTTTTTACCGTTTAATATCTGTCTCTAATTGTAAGTAACAATGTGATTTTGGAGTGAGACTACTTATCTAACGTTGGATGACATATCCCAAGAATCTTTATGTTTGGTAGTAAGACTAGATTCTGGGGTAGCTTTTTAACGAAGGAAGCAAAACTGCAAGTAGAATACTTAGAATAGAACATTTGCTGAAGAAAACTATATGAGAAAGTTGCACTAGAAAGTCTAGAATCTTGATGTGTAGGTTTATAGTACTAGGTTCCCTCCCCAAATGTTCAAATTTTTATGAGATTTGTGTTCTTAATATCTTAGTGAAGTGTTTATTCCTGATGAACTGAAGGTAGATATTTCGTTAAGTGGTAGGTAATCGTGAAATTTAGTACATGCAATATCTATAATTGTATTAGAAAGTAATGCCAACAATCAACCTTAAAGTATCTGGGTGAAATTTCCCCTACCCCCCCTCCCCACCTCATGCAAAAGGTAAATAGGAATAACACATAGGATGAATTCTTTGCTACTTCTAAATCTATTTGTTCCCAAAAGTTGAGGGATTTCATAGCTATTCCTGGTGCTAGATCTGCTAATATCATTGTGTTATGTGTTAAAGAATTGGAAGACTTTTAAAGAAATCAAACCTCAAAAACAATGTGGAGTCTTGGAGGTCCATATTGTTTTAATTTTCTGTCCATTGCTTTATTAAATTATCTTGATATTGAATTATGCCTGCAGAAATATTTATTGTTGAAGGTGATTCAGCTGGTGGAAGTGCAAAACAAGGCCGAGATAGACGCTTTCAAGTGAGTTATTACACCTTGTACTTGAGGCAACTGTTAAATCTGTGCTAAAGGTGGTTCGTTTGCCATTGCATTGAATTGTTTACGTAAAATGTGCTTTTTTTTCACCTTATTTCTCAAACTAGTTTTTCTGTTGAGTTGTGAGAAAAGAATATCATTACTTGATCTGGAGTAAGAATATCAATGATAGGAGTTCAACTTTCTTCCCATCAAACAGCTTTTTCCTTGTAAGGGGAGGAAGGTAGACAGTCAATAGCTAAAGGATGTCACAAACCATAGTTAAGGAATTGTTGGTGCTTTTTATGTGCTGTCTTGAAAACATGTTTCATGCAAGGGAGCTTATATTTTCCTTTTTCTCTTTGATATATATTTTTTCATGTGACTGAAATAAATTGTTACTCCCTCTGTTTTTTCTTAAATGCAACACTTTGACCATGCGGATTTTTATGCGGTTGAGTTGAAGTTATTATATATGTGTAAGTGGGGTTTGTTGGGGAATTAAAAATGATAAAAATAAACGTGATAATGGGTATATAGTAATTGACGTGATTGAAGAGAAATATTAAGAAGGTGTGAGTGGGGTAGAAGTGGGGACCATGTGAGGAGAGAGATGTAATAAAATAGTGTAGAATGTTTCCATTTAAGGAAGTGTTGCGTTTAAAAAAAAGGCTGATTATAGGAAGTGTTTCATTAAATTAAAAACGGAGGGAGTATATTTTAGTTTTTCTGTGATGGATATTAGATTTAGGTTAGTATCTTCCATTTATTCTAGGATGATTGACAAATTTGAGAAAATTTGTAGAATACTCCCTCTGTATCTAAAGAATTACCCCTTTTTTTTTTTTTTTTTTTTTTATTTTTTTTATTTTTTATTTTGGTCTGTCCCTAAAAAGTGTCTCAATCTCTTTTTGACTGACATGGTTCCAACAAATCCTCTCTAGTACATTTCTTACCTCACATCCTAAACGACAAAACTACCTAACCATTTATACAACTCTTAATCAAGTGAAAAGAGATGGATGGGGCAATCTTTAAAGGGTAGAGGGAGAACAAAGTGATGCTGTAATACATCCTTTATATGTAACACAGAAGTGAATTTTTTTTATTGAATTCTTCAACTTTCCTTCTGACTGACGCTATCAGTAATATGCTTGCTATGATATTTCTTGAATCCCTTTCATCTACTGCCTTTTATCTCCCCTTTGGCAATGTGGCAAAATAAATAAATCTGTGTTTCCATCCTCTTGACTTCATCACTTACTTGGTGAGCTTAGATGAAATTCACTATTTAACTTGCATGTATTACTTGTTGTCTTTGAACATCACTGGTGCTTCAGTACGATCAAGATTTATGCTATTGAGGGCTTTGTTCACAGATTTAGCATTAAAAGTGTAAGATAGGACTTACCTTGTTGTCTTGAGGTGAAAGAGGCTACAGTTTTGTGTATGCACATGATCTTTGGTTGAAAAGTTTAATCTATTACATAATGCTTTCCCTGAAAATATTTCCTTGCAGGCTATCCTGCCCTTGCGAGGTAAAATTTTAAATGTTGAGAGGAGGGATGATGCAGCTATGTACAAGAATGAAGAGATTCAAAACCTAATTCTTGGTTTGGGACTTGGAGTGAAGGTACCAGTGGATCTTATTTTAATATAAAATCTGTTATGATTTTTAACTTATCTTTATTGACTAGTTATCTTTTACCAGGGTGAAGATTTCAAGATGGAAGATCTTCGCTATCACAAGATTATTATTTTAACTGATGCTGATGTTGATGGTGCTCATATTAGAACTTTATTGCTAACATTTTTCTATAGATATCAGGTATATGCTAGACTTTGGTGGAAAAACTGTAAGTTATGCATCTAAAGCTGTGTATACCAGTAAGTCTAATGTGTGTGAGGCCTCTTTCTTGCAGAAAGATTTATTTGATGCAGGTTGCATTTATGTGGGAGTTCCTCCCCTATACAAGGTATCATTTATTCTTCTGGCACTGTGGTCAATCTGGAGGAGTTGAGGACTTTAAGCTCCTACACACCTCCTTGCTTATGGGTTCCTATTATTTAATTTGTACCTTTGCCTTCAGGTTGAAAGAGGGAAACAATTTTATTATTGTTACAGTGAAGCTGAACTTAAAAAACTCCAGAGTACCTTCCCTTCAAATGCATCATACAACATTCAGAGATTTAAAGGTATAATAAGAATCGCTTTCATTCATGATATGCTATCATATATTCAAATGCATATGGGTTTTCATGTCTTCTTTACTGAACCAGTGCTTATTCATCTTGGTTTTAGGATTGCTCTTTCCGAAATTCTTTAATTGCTTTCCCTAGTTAAATGGCATCATAAATATGTAAATACGAGCTCAGACAAGTAATTCTGTATTTGCATCTTTAGCATGTAAATTATTTGGGTTCTGAACGTATCTTGAAGAGACAAAATTTTTTGGCCCTTTGCTATATGAAAAGATTGGTTACAGTTATTACTAATGGTGACTTAAATGACTAAAGCACTATCAAAGATGTTCCTGCTGGTAACCCTGAATTCTAATTCGTATGTTAGAAGGAACAGGGCTTCTCCTTCATCTATGTGATCATACATGTGATTTGTTTGCAGATCTTATTCGATGTAGTATGTTCTGAATAGAACAGTGTTTTTTTTTTTTTTTTTTTTTTTTTTTTGCTCTATTGTCTGATTTAAGTATATCGTAGGGTTGGGTGAGATGATGCCTGCTCAACTTTGGGAGACAACAATGGATCCAGAAAGTCGATTGCTGAAACAGTTGACGGTAGAAGATGCGGCTCAAGCAAATCTTGTTTTCGCCTCACTCATGGGAGCCCGGGTAAGTCATTTCAGTGTGCTTGTTCTTTTCATTATTTTCCATTAACTGTGGGGGATTTCGCGCCAGTGTTATTTCTTTCCGTTATGGGATTTAATATGGATATAATATCTTCATTTGTTATAAATTACTATTCAATTCACAATGCCAAGTTGATATGAATTTCGGATGGTAGTAATTTTGGGATGCATGAACAGGAATAAGATTTCTCTGTTTTTGGCTCTTTCTTGTATGTCAGGTTAAATGAGTTGGCATGATGCTTATGCTGTAATTTTCCAGGTTGATGGACGCAAGGAGCTTATACGAAATGCAGCTAACATTATCGACCTTGAGCAGTTAGATATATAAGAAATATGCTGTGGATATGCACTGATTACAGCTTTCTACCCGAGACATTGCCATATAGCCTGAAGTGTCGCATAGGATGTCCTCTTCGAGCTTATGAGTATTCAAAGATCAATCCCGAAACTAATGCTCTTCTGCAGAATAGTGGAAGCATTTTCCACATTTCTTGTCTTTTCAGGCAGGTTTCAAGTGCTAGAAGTTATTCATATCTCAGGATTTTGCTAGTTTTTGTAGGTGTCATATTTATGTTCAAGCATATGATTATAGTCCCTCCCAATTAGCGTAGAAATGAATGGTTTTGGCTAATGTTCCATTAGATTTGTCGCATTCATTTCATATGTATAGTTTTGTAGCAATCACATTTATACAGTTTGTAATCTAGATAGTGCAGCTCTTTTTACTCAAGCACAGATTTGTGTACCAAAATTATGAGTTTAATTTTTGAAAGAATTTCTAAATACATTTAAATCATTGATATTTCTATATCTGTATTTTGTAGATAGGTTGATGAGAATTAATCATCAAATTTTTTTAGTTTGATCAACAAAGAAAAAACGAAATGTTATGGGACAATTTCTGGGCCGAGGTAGTCATCACCTTAATCTCTTCAGCTTTTAATCATGGTAATCACTGCTAAATTCTATATTGATTTATAATTGTAGTCTTTACCTCATTTATATATATATATAAAACTATACTTTACTCAACGAAGCATTATAATCATGAGCAGTAGGGGGTATTTTTGTAAATTTAGAAAACAGCAAACTATACTCTTTTACTTCGTTGAAAGCAGCTAGAGGAAGACGAGAAAGACGAGAAAGACAAGAGTAAATTCATTCAGCTTTTTGTCAAGAATACCAAAAATTTTGAGCTTCTGTAGGCATATAATTAAACCTAGCACAAGGTGGGTCTATAGTAAAGTTGTGCACTTGTGCAACTGGTAAACTTGTATCATGATTAGTGTGCGTTAGACCTGGCAATCCTGACCCAAATCCGATGACCCGACCCGAATGATCGGACCCATGACCCGAAAATGACCCGAAATTCGAAATTGACCCGGCCCGACCCAAAAAATGGAGTTGACCCGAACCTGACCCGACACCCGAACTGACCTGACCCGAAGTTGACCCGACCCGAAATTGACCCGAACAGACCCGATTACCCGACATGTCGCGAACTAAAATTACTTTATAATTGAACTTAAAATGTCTTGTACCAAAAGTAACTCAAATTGTTCATCTTCAACCGTAGCTAAATTCATAAACTGAATTGATAGTTTTTATTATAACAATAACAAAATATATACTCCGTATAAAATTATTCATTTGAGCTTGATTCACAAATAAAACAACCCGAACATGACCCGACCAGATTTTGACCTGACCCGAATATGACCCGACCAGATTTTGACCTGACCCGAATATGACCCGAACATACTTGACCTGAAATTGACCCGACCCGAACATACCCGACCTGAACTTGACCCGATACCCGAATCGACCCGACCCGACCCATACCCGACCCGAATGTTAGCTGACCCGAAATGACCCGACCCGAATGACCCATTTGCCAGGTCTAGTGTGCGTAAGTTTTCAACCAGGAACTGCTGGTATGTTAGTGTCTACATGTATTCGTCTTCCGGGTAGTCAAGAAATAAATGTCGACACACCGGGAGTTGTGCTTTCTGTTTTTTTATAGCAGGTTACAGTTCAGAGAATAATATGATATGATACGATATGGTATGATATTATATGATATGATGTGGCGTGATTAGTTAAATTTTAAGTAGTAGTTTCCTTAACAAGTTGGATTCTGTACTTAGAGGGAGGTCCAATGACCTCGTCATTAGAAGAGAGAAAGAACTTTTGTTATTAAAAAATTGGAAGAAAGAAAATAAGGGAGGAGAGATGGTGATGACCCGGTCATTGGAATGACCAAGCCAAAGCTTTAGTCATGAGTATAATAGTTGACAGGTGGCAAAATATTATTGGAAGGAAATGGGAAAGAGAGAGAAATTGTGATTTACTATCATGAGTCTTTGGGCAAAGTTATTTTGGGCAACCATTGAAAGTCTTGGTCATTGTTGGTCATGTGACTTGGTCATGGATGAGTGGAAAGAGAGAAAAATTATATAATAGTTCATGACCAAGATTTTTTGGTCATCCATTGAGTGGAAAGAGACAGACATTGTAAACTCTTGCTCAAAATTATGTCAGTTCAAAATAGCATATATGTTCATTTCACACTGATTTTATTGCCATATTGGTTTTAAGAAAACTTATTATTAGAATTTGTGGGCTTGACCGCTTGAATAAGTTTTGGGTGGTTTTATTTAGATTTTATTATGAATTTTGAAATTCAAAATTTGAGATAAATATAAACCTGTGATGCTTGGAAGCTCATTCTAACCCTAAACTTTTCATCGTTTTTTAGTAGAATTTGTTATATACACTCGGGTGTACAACCCAATATATTTTGCTCATTTGATAATTTCTTTTTGCTCATTTTAAAATCTAAAATGAGCTAAATTATATCAAATGAGCAAAAAAACACCTTTGGTGCACCTACCTCTATATACACCCGGGTATATATAAAAGGTTCTCAAAACACACTACCTAAGAAATGCCTTACAATTTGTAAGTACAGTCCATAAAAAATGAGTGACAAAATAAATATAATTGGTACAGTTAAGCCTAGACAATCGTTCCAAAAATGCAAATGAAATGGCAGAGTTCAAGAGGAGTGCAGAAGAACAAGAATTTTTTCTGCTTCTTTCCCATACAGTATTTACTTAAGGATTTGTCACGCAACACTCTCTTTCTCTTTATTTTTATGTTAGATTTCGTGAAAACTCCTCAAATTGGAGTGTGTACCATTGATCAATATTTATATAGAGTTTACAATATTAGTCTTAGTCATATTAGGAAACCTAATATAATAAGGATACAAAATATACATATAATCTATTCAAATTTACGACAAATATTATCATAAATATAATATCTATCACACCTAGGTACCAAATCCCAAGTCCTTGTTTTAATAAGAGCATCATATTCATCCTGCATCGCCGCATTAAGGTCATTAAGTGCATTTTTATATGTCTTAGGAAGCGATTATTTATGAGAGGGAATGGTCATATGAGCATGGTGATATTTGGGGTTTGGTTTGTAAATACCGTATTGGCTACGAGTAACACGAGGCGATAGAGGGAGTGGTTGGATTGGCCGAATAGGCATAACACCTCTCAATGGAGGGGGTGTGTAAGGTGGGAAAACCTAGTATGATAAGGATACAAAATATACATAAAATCTTAATCTGCGACAAATATTATCATAAACATAATATCTATCAATTTATACTCTCTTTTCACACCCCTTAACACTCTCTTCATTTACGCTTTCGTTTTTTAATGACGTATGTCCCACACCTCCCCTTGCCCCAAAATGAAGTGGCATGATTAGGACATGCAATTCCCTATCCTCAAGAATTTGCAAATCTAAACCAAGAAAACATACTGAACCGCTTGAGAGACTGCATTCAAGATCACTTAGGTGAGTTACATTCGATTCAACCCATTAATTTTCAGAATTATACACTCATAGAGCTAGTTGCACATTTTTCTATCCCTCCCAATTAAGTTAGAAGAAATACACCTTTACTTTTCTTTCACCACTGAAGCGCTCACCCAACGAATCTGTGTAGGTAATGGCAAATCTAGTATCTTTTATAAGTAGGTTCAAAATATTAAAAAACAAATCTATGTAGGTAATGGCAAATCTAGTATTTTTTATAAATGAGTTCAAAATATTAAAAATTAATTTTTAATCAAATATAATAAATCTATTAATATAAATCATTAAAATATATATATAAATATATTTTGCTAATGACTTACAAAACAAATATAATTTATTAACAAAAATTGCATTATGGATATGTTTTGTTTTACAAATCATTACTAAAGTGCATATGTTTTTTGTATGTTCATATGATTAATACAATATTATAATATTCTATATAATGTATATATTAAATTTAAACTTGTGTATTACATCGTTATTTTAATTGAAATAAAATTATTTAATATCATATTTAAAAAATCAAATAAAACAAATAATATAATATTAAAATTATTAATGTATTAACAAATTACATAAAATTATTTATAAATTAAAAAATTACATATATATACGTAAATATTATACTGCATATATCCGACACATATAATTATGTGTATTTATAGATTGCTCAAAAAAACTGCATTTATCATTTTAATAATGTTTGAGATACTTGATGATCTTGTTATATTTGATTATTATGAGCTGTTTTGTCTTTGGAAGAGTCATCCAAGTTGCAAAAATTTATATAGAGTTTCCTTTCCGCACTTTCAAGAACTGCAGAATATATATGGCAAAGACTATGCTATTGATAAACCAGCTGAAGGTTATGTTGAAGCAATTAACCATTTGGAAAAAGTTGCCCCTTCGCAGGTTACACTTGATTCAAGTGATGATGAGGGAGTCGGTGGTTCTGGCACTGTTAATTCTCCTCCCTAAAAAAAATCAAGACTGAAAAAACTACAAAAAGAAGGAGAAAAGGTGATGGTGCTGGTAGTTCGAACGAGTTGGCCAGCTTACAAACATTCATGAAAGATATGAATGTTCATCTTTCCACTATGGCTAATGTAATGGCAAGCACTAATGAACGTGAAAAAGTTACACATGAAAGAGAGAAAAAATTAGTGCAGCAGAGTGAACAAGTGCTAGAGGAACTACTCTATCTCAATTTAGAGGGTGTAACTCCTAAACAAGTGTTTGAAGTTGCTGAAGATCTAGCTTCGAAACCACACAAGCTTATGATATTTTCAAAGTGTCCAAATGCTTTGAAAAGTAGTTATGTTAAGAGTCTTATTAGGGAAAACGGTGATGCTTAAAACTATTGTCGTGGTTACCTAGTTCGTTTTGAATTAGGTGTTATTAACTTTGGTATGATTAAAATTTTTGTTGTTGTTTTGGAACAGTATTTTGGTATGATTAAAACTGTCGTGGTCTATGAACAATATTTTGGTATTATTTTCACAAAACATATATGAAACAGGTCTCTCTTGGAATATTACAGGAAAGTATGGAAAGTATAAAAGTATATTTTTTCATGTTACATGCGACTATGGAAAATATGAAAATATTTTTTCATATCACTTTTTTTCATTTTACAGGTCTATTTTTTCATATTACAGTAAAATATTTTTTTTCCTTATTTTTTTTTTGCTTATTATATGAATGGAGGTTATTATATGAAAAAGAAAAAAAAAAGAAAATTTAAAAATCATGGTTTGATTCCCTAGTTTGAACCAAACAGCTACAAAGAGAATCAATGAATAGTTCATTCCGTTTCCCGGACACAACCAAACAACTAGCCCAAATTAGGGGAATTCCTTTCCTTTCTCCTTCATTTTCTTTCTGCATTGCATTCCGATTCCCCAGTGCGAACCAAACGGCCCCTAAATTCAGTTTCAGATATGTAAAACCTTTTTTTTTTCTTTTTTTTTTTCTTTTTTTTTCTTGCTACACAGTTTTTTCAGTTTTCAGCATCAAATTCTTTTTTTTAAAAGAATTCAGTGTGTAATTTTGTTTCTTATTTTGCTATTTATCAAAGGATTTGGAAACCTACTATGCCGGATGGAATGAATTTGAGACTCTCAATAATGGTGTAAGTAATTTTGCATAACATATTTAGTTAAGTTGAGATGTCATATGTTATTATTTCAATTTCTTTCTGGACAGAACTCCATATATTGACGAGGCCATGAAAAGCTACCTGGATGAATGTGCCAAGAATTTGAAATCATTAAGAGAGAGAATTTGTTAGACAATTTGATTTGGTTTGATTCTTTAGTTTTTCTTCACTTTGAATCTTGTAGACTTTGTAGATCAAAAGTCAAAGCTATCAAAAGGCTTTAAATTCTGTTTAGTCTTTGTGTGTGTGAGTGGGTGCTCCTATATGTTTGCTTCTCTTAAAATTCAGTACCTAAGCAATTGTACACCTTTCCTGTCCAAATACGAATCCAAGAACAACTTTCTTTATTTTCTAAGAGAAAATACACATTTGCTTCTCTTTTGCCTATGTCTAGTACAGGTGCCATCAGAATCTCTGATCCAACTAGGAACTGTTGGTATGTTAGTGTCTGCACATATTTGTCTTCCGGGTAATGACAAAATAAATGCCGGTACGCCGGCAGTCCTTTCTCTAAAGCTTCCTGTTTTAACAAATTACAGTTCAGAGAATGACATGATATGTAGGTGATTAAAAGTAGTTGGTCTTTGGCTAATCACTACTAGAAAACAGGCCATTTCGGACGGAAAATTCCGACCGAAACACTCTGTTTTCCGTCGGAAAACCCTATTTGTAGGAAAAATGACCTTTTCCGACGGAATTTCCGTCGAAAACACTTTTTCGACGGAATTTCCGACGGAAATCATGCATCGAAAGAGATATTCCGGCCTGGAAAAGTCCGTCGGAAATTACCGACGGAATTTCCGTCGGAAAATGCTTTTAAAAAAATTAAAAAAAAAGGCCCCACACCACCCCTACAAGCCCACCGAACCCGTACCACCACCCCATCAGACGCCCAACGCCACCCAGAACCCGACCACTGAAACCAAATTCGTAAACACACTAACCCCTACCAGCCCACCTAACCTGTAAACACACTAAACCACCTCAACACCCACCAAAACCCGTAAACCACCACCAGCCGTCACCACACACCACCAACACCTACATCACACTATCAGCCCAAACCCTCACTAGACCCACCCAAACCGAAAAAAATAAAAACAAAACATCCAAAAAATTCGAACAATACAACCTAGATCTACTAACCACCTCGCCACCCCCAGCCCAAAATCCGAACCCCAAAAGCCTCCACCCACCAACACCAGCCGCCACCACCATAAATTTTCAACCAACAATTAAACAATAAACCTCTAGATCCGAAAAAACAACAACAAAATAAAATCAAAATTAAAATAAAAGGAGATACATACCTTAATTCAACCGCACAAAACCTTGAAATCGGGTTTACGAGGCCAAACCTTCATTTTGACCTGAAAGCCTTCATTTTGAACATGGGAAGAGAGAGAAAGGGAGAAAAAAACACCGTTTTGCCTTAATCTTAAAACCCGAACTGGTTGTTGTGCGGTTTTGTTGTTGGTGGTTGTTGTTGATATCGGTGTTGGTTCAGTTTCGGCGGTCAGTTTCGCCGGTAGTGGTTAGAAGATGAAAGAGAAGAAGAAGAGAGAAAGAAAGAGCAGATGAAAAATAACGAGAAACAAAGAGAAGAGGAGAGAGAAGGAGAACGGATGAGAGAGAAAGGGGAAGGAGAAAGAGAAGGGGCGGAATGGAAGGAGGGGGGGTGTGTAGTGTGTTTTAGGGTTTTGTTTAAAAAAGTTTTTTTTTAAAATATTCCGACGAAAATTCCGTCGGAAAGTACATGTTTTCCGACGGTTTTGAATTCGTCGGAAACATCCGACGGAATTTAAATCCGTCGGAAATTTTCGTTTTTCCGACGGATTTACGTGTTCGTCGGAATCATTTCGTCGGAAATCGACCTGATTCTAGTAGTGAATATAGGTATTTACCTTAACAAGTTGGATTCTGTAGAACTTCCAGGCCTTGTAGACCTTTGCAAGACGAGCGAAATGTGATAATGTTTTGTGATTGGAGTAGAATTGAGAGTTGCTGGATGGTTTGTTTCCCTATATGAGACGAATGTAACAGGATGGTAAATTTGCTGAGAATTATATCAGTCGAAAATGGCATATATTTGTGTTCATTTGACTGTGATTTATACTGATACTTCCTGCCTAATTAGTTTTGGTAAAACATCTGTTGATTCCAATAACAAAAAAAAGAAGATGAAAGGGAATATTGCTTAATTGATGATCTCAATAATACAGTTGTGGCGAAGAACAAAATCTACTACATTAGAAGCGAAATACGCCACCACCGGTACAGGTTTCCTGATGATGCACGCCCCCCAATATTAACAAAACTCTCCTCATAATTCGTGTACCCAAACCCAAAGAGTGGAATTACTCAAGAACTGTTCAGATCTCAAAGGGTAGGTTTGTGTTTTTGTGTTTAGGGTTACAGAGATAACAAAACTGTATATCTCAATTTGGGGTTGAAGAGGGTATATGTATGAGTAAACAAGAAAAAGAAATGAAAGATATATCATGTCTCATACTCCACGCGCACACGAGTAGCTGAGCTATCGTTCGCAGGATAGCTTGGCCCTGCCGCACACACACATACACCCGAGCTACAGCTCACTCACCTGAGAGCTGTAGCTCGGCCTTGCCGCAACTTTGTGTGCAACCGAGCTATCGCTCGCTCGCTTGTGAGCTATAGCTCGGCCTTGTTCTCGTGTGTCGTCACTAAGAGAACAATAGCTTTCTAGGTAGCTCAGTAATAACTTCTTCCGATTTGCATTACAATTGTCATAACTCCAACAATCCCCCACTAATGCAAACGGACCAGAGATCATGAAATCTAAACAGTAAAATGAAAGGTTAGGTACTTAAGCACTAGTATCTATAAGGTTTGAACTAATGCCTTAGTGACACAGGTATTCAACACCCTTCTGGTGAGTATCCAAAGGTTTGAACTCCTATGAGCGAGGAAGGAACATGTATCACATACTTCACCTTTAGAGCTTGAGCAATTCCGCCACTCTTAGCCAACACATAGGGCTCTCATGAGTGCTTCAGGAAAACAACACCACAATTTTCCCTTGAAGGAGGCCACCCCTTGTACTCACGTAGGTGTTCTGTTTGTGTATAAATTACACATTCCTAGCACATCTAGGGTCTTTCCCTGCAGGCTTAAAACACATTCAAGCACCTTGCAAACCCAAGATTCTCTATGCAATGGAATAAGAACATTACGAACGTAAAGTTCAACCCTATCAACTCAACAGTGCATCTATCGATCCACTGCTCAACGAGCTCTTAGGCTAGATGCATTAAGGGATACTCCCAACCTCAATCATTTCGTACCACTATCGTTCCCTACTTGAGTAATATTAGGGCTAGTGATTCTAAGTCACTTAAGAACCACTATCATTCCCTGCTCTCGAGCAACTGGGCTAGTAGAATTAAGAGCAAGCAACACTCAATCTTCCACCTTCGGTGTCATTATCAATCCTATTCTAAGAGCCACTAGGCTAATGGTCTTAAATCCACTTAAGAACCATTATCAATCCCTGCTCAAAGAATAACTGGATAAATGACATTAAGAGCCACGCTCAACCTAACTGAATCTACCTGGCCAACAAACCACTCAAAAAGAGTTATGGATCCAACATAAACAAATAGTGTAAATCCAACAACGAGTCAACCAAAACAAGGCTCCAGATTTATTCAGAACAAAAGCTCAAACATATTAATTAAAGCGCTTCGGTGTGTCCATGTAAGCTGTCTCAATTGACCACCCAACCTGGGTTATGGACATATTAAGAGCACTTAAAGCTCAACCTGTTAACATCAAGAAACAAGTCTACCAAAGCATCTCATAACCATATAAATTAGAGGGTTATCAAGCCAGATAACTTCAGAAAGTAGACTCATCATTTACAACTTTGTCAATGGAATAAATTAAAACACCACGCAGGATCTTAAATACATTCCCCTTAGACAATCAATCACTTATCTGTGCTTCATCCTTATATAAGGGATCTGCTTGATTCTTCTTTTCTTTCACATACTCTAACATGAGTATCGCCTCCACAAGATGTCTAACTCTGTCACTACATTTGTAGTTCTTGACCACATACATAGACACTTGTGAAAAATAATGTAGAGAACAAGAGGATCAACTTACCCCCACAATGGACAAACTTCCAGAGATCAATCTTTGCTACAATCATCTTCTTGACACACGTCATCCAATCTAATGAACCTTGCTTCATAATGGATAGCGTACATCATTTTGTTTTGCAACTCACTCGAAACAAAGCACCATCCTTCATCATGTAAAAACCATACACTGAAGAGGTTCAACTAATCATCGTTGTTCCTTCAATCATTGTTCTTAGATCCTACTGGGACAGGTACTTGAGAATCTTTCTCACTTAACCTTCATCCCTACATTACTCAAAGCTCAAACAATAGTTAAGTAATTCTCTCTTGAAAACATAATAAATGATGAGCTTCCCAACAAAACAATTTCATGTCAAGAATAAATTGTTAACTCGTTTAACTTGCAAAATATTAGCAAATTTGAAACAAACATCAAAGGCTAAGAACACAAAAGTAACTCTGGCTTAAACATGACAAACATAGTTTACCAAAACACTTTCCTTACATCACGGAAATGAGATTAATGCGTACCTTTAAAGATTCATTAGTTTACTACCCAGAACCATACTGCTTATCTCATTATCTCGTACTTGTTTCTTGGCTTTGAGACTTACATACATCTCTATCTCAATGAACAACATGCATTGTGAAGTTAACAACATATGCTCATTCTAGCATATGAACACTATCAATGCAAACTATATTAACATAACACATGCAGCAAGAGGTTCAACACACATGTTAAGACACACTTAAAGTAATAAAGTTTGGGTACTTACATCTAACCCCCACTCACCATACATATCACAAAGGATATAACAACATGAGAATAATACCCCACATTCTAAGTTGTCACTTGTGCATGCACTTTAAATACACACTCTTGATTTATAATCATTCATGCTAGGAAGCTTAAGCAACCTTACTGCAAAACAGACAAGCTTAAAACACAACAGGTGAGTTATAAAAGTGGGTCAGCACCAAACTTACAGAATAAATCCTGACATCACAACATCTTACCTCGGCCTATTTCCAATCAACCACCTTTCAACTCACCTTGAAAGATACTTTCAAATGATATGATGGATACATGATAGCAAGGTAAGATATACTATTCTCAAGCATATAAGACTCAAAAGGAGCGCACACTCGCATTAACATACTTCTTTCCACAACTAGTTAATCAAGGTCTATTCATATGGTTCAGGATTTTTCATCCACCACTACTTGAATATATACCACACAATAACCCATCTACATCTTTCAATTAAGTAAGTAGAAACAAGACAGTACACAACTAGTTCAAGCTTTAATCAAACACACCTTAGATGATCCACTCATCAACTTTACTAGCCAGAAGAAAGCTTAGGAAGCCAAAACAAGTTCTACGAACGAGCAAGACTAACATGTCATGTTATGAGAAACATATACTTGAGACATTTCACATGATTCAACATATCATTAAGGTCATACTTGGTAAACGTAGCAGAAATTCAGCATACACATCACCCACAGTCCCATAAGCCTTCATGCTTTACGTGAAACACATATAGAAAACAATACTTCACAATTGGCCCGGAAACCCCCACATCACATATACCACATGAAAATAATCATGACTCAGGTAACAAAATTAGGGAGTGACATCCAATTTCTTGGGTGAACTAATAAATCAAATAAACAGCTGAAACATGTCTGCAACCCCCACATTACAAATATTCAAGAACATTCATAAACATTAAAGACATATGGAATCTTAATTCCCATTCTTACCTCATGTGGGGCACTTACACTTTAAACTTGCACGACCTTTCTGGCTTTGCTGTCAAACATTTTTTCATCTGCTAACAAGCACGGAAATAAAACCGGTCTTGTCTAGACCATCAACAAGAAAAGATAATTGCTACTCCTCTAGCAAATAAACACATTTCAAGTTCGTGAACAGAGCTAATTAAGATCACAAGAATTAATATCAATAATTCCAAATCCCCTTCAAACTAAAAAAAGGACACTTACAAGCTTATCACATACTCCATGCTCAACAAAATATTGTCCATGATTAGGATTATAACAATAATAACACTATCATAAGATAGAACACATAACATCCCTAATCTACTAGGACAAATCACATTTTAAAGTCCATAAACATCAATAAAATATCATCGGACAAACCATACTTTAGCAGAGATCAATTACTTGTAAAACAACAAGTCAACAAGCAAATAGCCACAGATAAAAGTTTCTTACGGAAACCTTCCTCCTCAAAACCACTCATGAACAAGAGTAAAACTAACATACTAGTTACTCTCAAGATCTAACTCTTCTCACCCCCACATTGTATTGCAATTCTTCATAATAGTAGAATTATGCGTAATAGGAGCAGATAATAATAAACACCATATTATGTAAAGTTAGAAATAATTAAATGACAACAGTAAAAGGAGGAGGAACTTCCCTAGTTTCTAGCAGAACAAATCACAACTTT